TTGGTTCTGTAACTATAACTTTTGTTCTTTAGTTTGACTTTTGATGTCATGAGATCCTCACTTAGTTACCATCGGACTTTTTGGTATTTTTCAGACGTATATTCACGCCAAAAATATGAAATTTACAGCATACTTAATTACAGCTTTTATTGCTTAATATTTTTAAATGACTTATCAAATAGGAACCTAGAATCCTACCGCTACACCCTTTGGGGAGGTAGTTTTATGAAATTTTCGTCTAACCAAGTCGTTAAAGATATCCGAATGACCCATTTTGTTTCACGATAGTTGTTGACTTGGGCAACAACGAAACATTTCAACGAAAACGTTAACAATAAGCGAAATTCTCTTTGATGTGGCCGTTAATAATGCCATTCAATAACAAAGGGCGGTCGGAACTTGAAGACTTTACCGACAAAAAAGGCCGAAAACATAAATAAATCGAACTATTCGTGCACCTTGGGAACAGTTTAGACTTTATGCTGTAGAACACCATGATGATTAAAATAACACAGATGTTGACGTATTTCAAAGCACGGGACAAACCTAACCCACACAACATCCATACACACAATACATGATCATCAAACATCACAGATGCCTTAAACCATTAAATTTATTTATTTTGTAAGGAATTATACATATACATTTATATTACTGTGAAACATTAAAGTTAGTATCCAAAGTAAAATAATGAAGCACTTATTGTGACATAATATTTCCCTATTTCCCAATTGCATTTTTCTCTTGAAGCAGGGCTCATTTAGAAAATATTGTTAGAGTTATATAGGATCCATGTATTATGAAAAGGGGTTTTGTTGAATTCACTTTTAATTAAATGTATGAAATCCTATGACATTTGTTAGTTACTTAATAGTGGATTAATATGCAATTTTAATCATTAATTTGAGGTAGTTTGTAGTGGGTAAATAAAAAATCGAAAAAATGGTTTCAAATTAACTCACTTTTAATATAGCGTGAATCTCAAGAAATCCTTATTGAAATATTTACACCTACCCTGTTTTTATTTTTAGATAAAGTAGTTCTAACTCTTTCCAGTAACGTATACTATTCCTAGCCACATTCAATTTATTCATCAGTCTTCGATTGTGATATTTTGGAAGACAGTAGACCATGTCGTCGATAGTATATCGTAAATGGAGATAATATAATCTGAAGTCGCACGCTTGTAACATCGTTTCAATTTCTTTTATCAAGATAGGAATAACTCTGTATATTATGCATGGTTGTGGATCATAGATAATAGATACCTCTAGGTTTAACATACAGTAAATCTACAACAAGGTGAGGCAACTGGCTAATACGAAACTTTGCTGAATTAGAAGCCATGACATTTTGGATTTGCCATTTGAAAAACGTTTAAACTAATATCTTTGTAGAGGTCTTCATGATCCTCCGGGAACTGGATGGATTTTCTTTTTTTAGGTGGAGAACGAAAGCTTTTGCAGAACGTTTTGATGTTGTATGAAATAGATAGTTGAAGTGAAAAATCGTCCGTCGTTTTAGTGTTAAATGTTCCACAAATGCTTTCTATTTTACAAAGAATTAATTAATATTTTGCAACATTCTACTCCTCTATTAATACTGGTTCCTTTCGGTTTTGATGTCTTGGTTTTTCTCCATTCAATAATTCCGTTCATTTTAAAATGCGATGACTGTAGACACAGTGATACGGATGGCTATAGGATGATAGAATGTAGAATAACATTCAAGTTATATTGGGGATAATTTTGTGACAGTTCTGATAGAGCTGAACATCGGATGTGGCAGCCGACGATGCGACATCAGCAGCAACGGCAGTTTCGGCGCTTCGAGATCATCGTCTTAATTAATTTAATTTTAGAGATAGCAGTCTGCGGCAGTTGCTAATCGCAAAGGAAGAATTTACCCGTTAACGTCTTTGTTGTGGTATCAATATTTTGTATCGTTGTGTTAATGAATTCAAACTTTTTACAGTTAATGAATCCGGTTAACATCGTCATCGACGTAATTTCGTGAACTGACATGTCTGACGTACGATGTTTTTTTTTTATGTCGGTATTTATATACTTAGATGATATGTTAATTATATTTGACCGAATTTGTGGGCTCTCTGTTTATACCGTGCAGGTATATTGAGCAGAAACATAATTAAGTACATAATTGAATTTAATTAATAATTAATATCTTTATTTTATAAGCTAATTTACCCACTATACTGTTTATTGTTTCTTAATGTAATCTTCAATTCATCAATGGATTTAAAGTGCACCTTTTATTAGGCAATTTAAGAAGATTGTTTCCTCGGTTCCCATCACAGAACGCAACAGTGATATATGACTTATAATATTTTGACAGTGACGATGTTAGTGTTTTTTCCTATTAAAATTATGTTCTTTAATTCTGTATCTAAAGCAGCTGCTTGTTTGAACCATGTAGGTTTTCTCGCAGGTGTCACAGTTTTGTTAATAAATGTCCGACTTATACCATTTTTTGTAATATCTATTGCTTTTGATAAATTTGCCTAGATGAAGGCTGTCGTTTTGAACGAAATAGAGTACAAATTATTGTAGAAATTCAAAAGAGTTGTTCTAATTTCGAAGTAATATTTCATTGAAAATTTCACAGTTGATTTTCGAGAGACAGAAAGAATACTTAAGACCGTTGTAATTTGTTTTGAAAATTGTCAGGACGAATGACAGGAAGAAGAAATGAATATAGAAGCGACGTTGGGCATCCGCAAGATGATTTTACCCTGAATAGTTTATTGCTTTATTGTCGAAGGAAGCGAGTTCGGTAGCTGAAAATAATGTCCCAGTTGGTGTTCGTGTTATACCGTAACGCAGTAAGTAACGTTGCTCCATGTACCATCACCTCCTTGGTGCGCTCTGAAAGTGATTTTATGACCATTTCTCGGAGTTGCGTCCGAATATACTTTAGGGGTTTCACCGTACTAACGATTCTTCACCTCCATTATTTGTTTGACAGTTTAATGATGGGTACATCTGTGTACACGCACTTTAAACGAAACAAAAGATTGATAGATGGCTGTGTCTGCGTACAATTTCACTAGAAGTTTTTTTCTCTATTATCATCATTATTATTATTGTTTTTATTGCAACAAAAAGTAATTCCTAATACATACTTACGCAATATCTAGCATTTAGTATATGTAGACAATAGAACGGCACAAATTTTCTTTTAAACTTCTCTCATGTGCAAAATTATTTGAAAGAATGTAAGTATAAGAAACAATAAAAAAAAGTGTAGCTAAACATTGATTGGAGCAATTCTTTATCTTGTAAAAACCACTGCCAACGTTTTGCCCTAAATTATCGGGTTTTATTAGGCGAATGAAAAGGATACCGTGGATAGAGCAGGTTAGAAATGAAGAGGTATTAGAAAAAATAGGAGAACAGAGGATTCCATGGAAGTCAATAAGAAATACCTAGGCGAGATGGGTTGTTAGGACACCTTCTCAGGTATGAAGGACTAGTCAGAGTCATATTAGAAGCAGAAACAGGAGTTAGAAGGAGTAGACCTAGATTAGATTACCTTCACAAATAGTTAAGGATGTGGGATGTTCTAGTTTTAGGGAAATGCGAAGATTAGCTCAAGATAGGAAAGAGTGAAGGTGCGTGTCTAGCCAGTCTTGGGACTGACGACCTTATGATGATGATCAGGACTAGCATAAGTATCTAAAATATTCTGGCCTTTTCATATTCTTATCGAACCTTGTCATTTATATAGTGATTCTCACTATTTATTTAATAATAGAGTCCATAAAATGCATTATTTTAGAATTGTTAGTTCGAATATAAAGGTACGTGTAGATTTTAGGCACTCGTTATTATACTTCGTTGCACTGAGGGTAGGTACGCTATGGGGTATGTGCAGTTTTTTTTTAAGCTTAAACGACCGCTTGTTTCTGGTTGTTAAACAAGCAATAATCGTGAGAAAGAGGGAGGTTGTACAATAAAATAAAAGTTTCTCGGAGTGTTGTTTAAGTGTGTGCTTATGATACTTAATGGTAATAACGAGATTGAATTCTTTGCCTGCGAATTTCGAGATTATTTGGAGATGTTATCGGCGCAGTGCACCACCGTAGCCTATACAGAAAATGACTTTCGCCACCTGTGGCGCGTTTAATACCAGGATTTCTACTCCAGGCTCGAGTTTATCTCAGCTGGACATCCCGATATTATAATAACGTGAACAAGTCTATATGGGTATTATAAAACTACCATCACTATACCTACCTACGATATCTAACTGCACGTTTTGTTTGGAATTGTTTCCACCGTTTTGCTTTGTGCTCGAGCAGTGGGAAATTTGCTAACCCCATTATTACTTTACAGGCTTACAGACGATGTTGTACAGTAAATATTGATGATAAGATTATGCCAAAATTTACAATCGTATTGACCACAATGGAGAAATATTTACCAGAAAGGTTTATGGCGAGTCGATACGATGAAATTATCTAAAGGCTCCGAAAGGTATTAGATTACCTACCACACCATTCCGTGAAGATGGATCCTTAGAGGATAATGGTACCAAAACATATAATTACATTCAAAAGAGAAAGTGCTTCAAAATTGAGAACAATCGTATAACAATGTCTTCATCATCAAAGGACAAGGATTTAAGTTGAATCCTTGAACATTTGACTTGTCTCGAACATCAAACCCAATTGGATATTTATTTAAAAATAATGTATACCTGCTTGCATCCACACATCGGTGTGAGTGTGTGTGTGTTTCTATTTAGTGTTCAGTTTGTTTGATTTTTTTCTGCAACTACCAGGAGAGAAAATAATAAGGACGACCCCGCCTCTTGTTCGGGAAATGACTCCACCTCCGACGAACAAAGTCCCTCCTCAAGCTGACACAACGACGGGACCGCATTTTCAACACACACAACACTCAGCTTCTGGCTGCTCGTTTCAAAGAGTTCCCCATTGGCCACAAACCAGGGGCGTTATTGTTAATGTTATATAAGGCTCGGAGTGATCTGACCACTTTTAGTTTGTGAAAGTTGTGACGTAGTCTGTATGAAACGCTATCAACAGAACAATTATCCAAAAAGCATAATGATTGTGATCATATCCTGCTAATGGACAGTTTGGTTATTGTGAAAAATGCAACATGGTGCAGTTATACAAGGTTCCTTTGTTTAACAACATCAACAAACCCGCAATGGCACGAACTCCTCTTAAGTCGTCCTTTTCGATAAGTTCAATCCTGCCGGAAACAACTGCCGAAGACGAAGAATCTAGTCAACATCCAGAGCACCATCCCCATCACAATCATCATCAGGAACCGTTCGAGGAAGAAGATTCTCACTCTGATTCCGATTTGGATGTGACCGGTGATGATACTCCACCACTGGATTGTTCAAAGACTGCAAAAGCAACTAGCGAAAATGATGGTAAAAAAGACGCGAACAAAACTAAAGATAAACCGCCCTACAGTTACAACGCTTTGATCATGATGGCCATCAGGAACAGTCCGGAAAAACGTTTAACCTTAAACGGAATTTACGAATACATTATGAAGAATTTTCCGTATTATAAGGACAATAAACAGGGCTGGCAAAACTCGATACGACACAATCTTAGTTTGAATAAGTGTTTCGTAAAGGTTCCTAGACATTACGATGATCCAGGTAAAGGAAACTATTGGATGCTGGACCCATCGGCGGAAGATGTGTTCATTGGAAGCACCACCGGAAAATTACGAAGAAGGTCAACTGCAGCATCTCGTTCAAGATTAGCAGCGTTCAAAAGGACCATGATGTTTGGTCCTAGTACTCTTTATCCTTCACCGTTTCCCGCTTATAATCCAGCACTGCTGGGACTATGCCCAAATCCAGCTCTTCTAGCAACCATGTACCATCGATACAATCCGTTTTTGCCGTCAATTCTTCCCAAACCGACGCCCATATCGCCTCACAATTTTGGAATCGATAGGCTAATGTCTTTACCGGATATTAGGCAAACTGTGCCGAGTGGCTTTGACTTCTGTGCCGGTGGTAGCGGTAACAGTGGTAGTAGTTTCAAGTTGCCCTCCTCAACGGGACAACTGATGCTAGTACCTCATCATTCTTCGGCTGTAATGGACAATTTAAGACACTATCACAGTGCCAGTGCCGTCGGAAATAGTTCAACGAGTTCGTCCAGTTTGACAGAGACTATGTCAGGTTCGCCAGAAGGACCGCCGAACGGTTTATTGAAACCTGTTACGGTACTTACAAAACACTCGTAAATTTCGACTGTTATTAATTACTAAATTAAGCTAAAAGTGTTTGTAAATATGTCTATTAATTATTTATGTAACTCTATCTACTTAACTACCATGTAAAATTATACTGTAAATACAAATGAATTCTGTGAAGAGCATCGGTCAAATGAAAGAGAATTTTCTGCATCTACATTAAATTATTACCTGTAAATAATTATTTCAGCTTCCAGCAAATAATTCGTTTGCCCAGAATTATAACGAATGTTCGGAATAACATGTGGTTATGTTTGTATCATTCGTGCAGGACATTTTTCCTTTGTAAATATATTTAATAAATTATTATCCCACTAATGCATTTTTGGTCTATTATTTCCTTCTGATACATAAAGGAAAAAATAAAAAATTCGATCATGCAAAGTTAGTTATTAAAATTTTAAATGTTAAACAATTAGAATGATTTTTATTTTGATGTTTCATCACGTTAAAGTACGATATTTTGTAATGATTCGATCTGCAGTCGGTATTTCAAAAAAAAAAAGGAAACTAAAGACTGGCAATGGTCAAATAAAAATAAATAGGATGAATCGTCAGGATTTCGGACATAATATTTATTATATATCTGGACAGAAACGTAATAGGAAAATAAGCTAAGGATTAATGAAAAAGTTAAGTTAAGGATAAGGACTGGAAATGGCCAAATAAAAATGAAGAGGATGAATCATCAGGATGCAGGACATATATCTAATACTTATTATATATCTGGACAAAAAAGTAATAGGAAAATAAGCTAAGGATTAATAATAAAACATTAATTTTGAAAGAGATAAGTCCTTTAAAACAATATTAGAAGCTAATTTAATGGAAAAACAATAGCAAAAATTTGAGATATTTTTCATAACGAACGGTATTTCGATTAATAGCAAGAGGAGTCCAAACAGAAGGACGAAGCGTCGTCACTATTTCATGATCAAACCAAGAATTATTAATTAAAAAAGGCAGTAATAGGTAATTCTCAATAATAAAAATAATAAATTGTTCACATCCCAACTTGAATGGACCCTGTAGATAACCACAACGTTAAACCGATTCGAATACACATAATTACCCTATAGAATCGTTTATAAACTCGTAGAGGTATTTATCTGTGACTTATGTCATCTTTTGATGGATTACGGCTGCGGCAACTTTTTTATCGACATCAAACTTTTAATGCATGGTAATAATATTACACTTGAAGAGACACACGGCTGCTTAAGATGTTTGCCGCCATTATACACAAACCGCGCCTGTCCTCCTTCCAACATGCCTCAACTTAATAACACGATATATATTCGTATAAATAATAGATACATGCTTCATAATACTGGTATACATAGTGGTAAGCGCAAAAGCAAGATTAGATCCATCACTATACATATACCTAACAGTTTTGGCTTTAGACTTGGACGTTGAGACTTATCCTCTCTTGGTTTTGGCATTGGTACTCACTGGGTCTTTGTCTTGAGAAGATCAAGACTTGGCTAATGGTGACAATCGAAAAAGTATATTGTTTCTGGTAACAAGAACAATAATCCTATATATTAATGATTTTCAAATATGTTTGAGAGTTTTATTCCTTTTTTCTTTCTCTTGGTTTCGATATGAATAGAGAATCAGTGGCAATGACGAGGATTGTTGCGAGGTTTTTTGAAAGCTATGAAGTTTAAAGTTAGCAATAATAATCATCATCATAAGATCGTCAATCCTAAGACTGGTTGGACACACACCTCCACGCTTTCCTATCCTGAGCTAATCTTCGCATTTCCCCAAGACTAGAACATTCCACGTCTTTAACTGTTTGTGAACGGTAATCTAATCTAGATCTACCTCTACTCTTCCTAACTCTTGTTTCTGAGTTTAGACACCATACAATTACACATGTCTAAAAACCCACGAAACGTTGGTGTCCATTTTGCTTTGGAATAAAAAGAACTTTATCTATCATCATTAGCTTTTATTTTAAGAATACTTTTCTTTTAGTTTAGTTTTACTAAAGAACAACATTTAATCTAACAAATAAACTAAGTATTTGTGTAGTAACAATTATTATGAAGTCATTAAAATGGACAAAAAATTATAATCACGAGAACCAACTTCAACAGTTCAATACAATACAAGAAGATATATCTAATAGTAATCGGTTTTCATATTGGTGTAGTCCTGACATTCTTTGGGATATTTTTGAGTAAAACCAGAATTGTTTTCAATCCAAACACTTCAGTTATTCACAAAATCATTATTGCCAAAACCAGTAATTGAAAATTAAGAAAATTGTTAAGCAATATTTGCTCCCTAGTGATCCCCGATTTGTTACTTCGTTATAAGTTGTATCAAACAGAGGATAACCTGAAACACTTTTGATCAGATAACATGAGATCCGCAGACTTAATTTTGTACTGATATTCCGTGAAATAAACGAGATAGGTTGGTAGGAGACCTTCTCAGGCATGAAGGTCTAGTCAGAGACATATTAGAGGCAGAAACAGGAGTTAGGAGGAGTAGAGGTAGACCTAGATTAGATTACCGCTCACAAATAGTTAAAGACGTGTAATGTTCTAGTCTTAGGGAAATGCGAAGATTAGCTCAGGATGGGAAAGAGTGTAGGTGTGTGTCCAACCAGTCTTAGGACTGACGACCTTATAATGATGATTCCGGGAGATCAAACTTTGCTATCTCGTGTACTAAATTTCAATCTAATAAGACAATTATTTTCTATGGTACAAAAGGATTGTTCTTATCAATCCGTTTACAAGAACGTTTAAGTGAAGAGGTAAAAAGGAATTAATGAAGCATATTTGGAGAAAATGATCCTGTTTTGTTAGGATTACCATGTTTGCGACAATTTTAATTTTAATATTCTAAGAAAGCACAACACATATGAGGGTTCTTACTGTTACATCATCCTTAATTGTTATAAGAAAATCAATGTTCTGTCAAAAGTCTTGATAATGGGGCTGTACCCAAAAGATGCTAAGAACGTATCACTTATGATATTCGAAAACTGAAATTTAATTGCTCGATTTTTTAAGGTGCGGCAGCGTCAATTTTGTAATGGAACCAATTTGGATAACAAATGACAGTGAATGAGACAATGACGTCGACTTGAGACAAGACGAGAGTGTTGAGTGTAAAACAAGTATTCAGTAAGCAAGTGGAGGATGATGGTCGCGAACGATCGGTTTTCAGCTGTTGCCTTGTTGTTTTAAACCTAATTTATGAACCAGATGTTTTGATTGAACTGAAAAAGTAATTAAGACCTTTACATTTTCATATACGTGTATTGGAGAAATGCCGGTCAGTTATTGTCGTTTTTGTTTCCTTTTGGCTTTAAATAACCACAGATCGGTGATGTTTATGGGACGGTTCGCGAGTCCTCTGCCTTATTTATACATGCAAACTACTAATTAGATCGCTTGTATGTCTCGGCCACTTTTGAAAATATTGGAAAATTTTGCTAATGAATCGACCTCTTTCTCTTGTCTTTTGCAACAAGAAACATATATTGTTGGTACATATATACACACACCCAGTGCCTAATATACCCACTATACTACTAAATATGCATAAATATATATTACATACTACACGTATACATGTTGGTATCCGACGCCATAATTTTGAATAAGCAACGTAGTTAATCGAAAGTATTAGACCTTTAAGAAACATACAATGTATGAGAGGTATTTTCAATCAACTTTCTTGTAGATATTAGCGCATTCAAGGAGAAGTTAAGGAACTGTATCTCCCCTAAAATAAAACTAAATTCAAAATTGGAAACGTCAAAGAATTTTCTAAATTCTAGTAGTCACAGCAACAATTACAAATTCGTGCACCACCACAAGAAATCACTGATGAGATCTACCCACACCATTGAGGTATTGCCAGTGTGCGTAATTGTTTTGGGGGTGATTGTAAGTAAACATATCAAAAAAGTCAACTAAGTCTCTTGGATGTACGAATTTGCGTCGCACCAATAGTGATTATTATTATTCAATATTCTGTTCCACGTGAAACAAAGTCCTACGGGAAAAATTAGGCTATACAGTACTTTTCATTCAGAAACAATGACACAAATCTGAAAAATCAGTTTCAAGAATAACTTGTACTCGCTGCAAATGATAAGGATGCAGCTATTGTTCCTTTAAAAATTGCTGCATTGAGAAGAACTAACGTTCTCTGATTTTTTCGCGTGTTCTATTTTGGGGGATTGTCTTCTTTGAAATCGAGGACTTCGTCATTACAGTAGCTATATGGTTCAAATCCATAAATACGTATCATTAGATATAATCAAACTTATATAATTATTGTAACAACTGTTCTACAGTGACTAACCTACACTAATAATTGATGTTGTATTACTGACTGTTTTTATTGAACCTCACAGTTTAAGTGTTAACGAATAAACGGCTATTAGAGGTTGGGTGTTAACATAAAAACTCTGAATCAAATAAACAATACACTATTAATCTGAAAATTCATTTTTGAATTTTTTACCCACTACACGCTACCTCAAATTAATGAGGGAAAAATTGTTGCTGTTGTCACACCCCCGCCGGGAATCGAACCCGGGACCCTTGGCTTTACGCACCAATGTTCTGTCAACTAAACTACGAGAGGTGACAACAGCAACAACGACCAACCGACCTATAAGGTTAACGATCCGTCGAACTAATGTAACTGTATATACTGAATATACTGTGATTAAACATACCTACATACAATTTAAGACAACTTGTCTAAAATGTGGGTAAAAAATTCAAAAATGAATTTTCAGATTAATATTTCGTATTAAACTTACTCACTTCTAAAAAGTTGTCTAAAATTGTATGTATGTTTAACAATACACTGATTGAGCGATTTTGCGGGCAGTATTTATGAACCAGGATCGGAACTGAATTTACCTGTACTTTCAACTACGTTTTTCTCGAAAATGATGAACATTTTGACATGCAAACACCTACTTAATTTTCATGTTTTATACTTCCGTATCACTTCCTGCAAGATCGGCACTTATTTCCGCCACACCCTGTATTCTGTACGCACTTCTACATTTGGTTATTCCATCTAAAAATTCTTACTTTTCACGATCAAGTAATCATTATTATTATTATCATTAGTGTAATAATATAAATTATAAAACAATTTACAGTATCTTAAGACAATTTTATTTGTATATCTATATGTATGAAATCATAAGAGTAAGGTTGAAAGTGTACGAGGGTGGATTGATAAGTTTCCGGCCTAACCAAGAGATGACGCCA